GTATCTCTTGAAATGGTTGAACATTAACCATTTCCTTTTGGTACAATGACTCTGTGTATTCCTTCCATCTTTTCTTGATGCATTCTGCATCATTCAACAATTTGCCCAGAGAATCTTTCAATAACAAAAGTCGAGGGTTGAATTTTTTCTTCAGTTCCCCCAGCTTAAGAAATGTTGACCATGTTCTTCCCTTTTGGTTTTCTAACTCTAAATCTTTGCATATTATATTATAGTATATGGCACATAACAGCAACAACAACAACCATGCCATTTGTTGTGCTCCCTGCTCCCAGCACTTGCACGTGGGTAATAGAGACACAGAAAACAGAACGAGTAATTAATTGCTGTAATTAATTGCTGGTCGTTTGCCATGGAGTCAGTTCTGACTCACAGCAATCCTATACAGGGTTTCGGAGGCTGTAAATCTTTATGGGAGCAGAAAGCCTCATCTTGCTGGTCGTTTCAAAATGCTGACCTTGAGATTAGCAGGCTGACTAGTAACCACCATGCTACCAGAGCTCCTTGATTAATTAACTAAATGGACTTTATTCAAGCTCAGGAAGCTCCATTCTTAACCTTTTGGCAGTTAGGTTAGGTGACTGTCTTCTACTTAATAAAATGTTCTTAAAAGAAGTAGGCCCATGTGAAGTCTTGGATACTTTTGGGGTGCCATTCACAAGGTATTAGAGGTGAACAATGGCTCCTGGGTGTGGACATCATGGTGCTATTAGAGGAGTAAAAAGCTGCTAACGTGCTGTGAACTAAGGACTTTGAAGGCTGCTCCTTATCTTTCGTCTGAAGAGGAAATTCCATCAGTGGAGAGTGATTTCTTAAAAGTTAATGTGGTCCTTCAGAGCCCTTTGTAATATGCAAATATCTCCTTGGAAAGCAACAGTATCTTGGCCACAGGGAAGATTACTTAACATACAAAGCCTGTTTATCAAGGATGATGGGAGACAGCTGGGGAGGCCATACAGAAAACAGAAGTGGATGCCAGCATAATTATGTCATGTCAAGAGCTATAAAGTTCTTTAAAATTACTGTGTTTGCTTGTCTTTGGTAAAAGTCCCCTGTGGTATTCCAGGGAAATGAAATAATTTACAAAGTTCCACACCTGGAAAACTTTGTATTGATAAGAAATTCTTTCTCCATGAAGCCCTCTGTAACAATAGTGTTGTTGTTGTTAAGTGCCGTCCAGTGGGTTCCGACTCATAGCAACCCTGAACAGGGTGTCCGAGGCTGTAAATCTTTACCAGAACAGAAAGCCTCATCTTTCTCCTGCGGAGCAGCTGGTAGTTTCAAACTGCTGACCTTGTGGTTCACAGCCTGATTCGTAACCACTACGCTACCAGAGCTCCTTGTAACAATAGTAGTAGCAATAATAATACCAGTTGCTATTGTTGTTATATGCCACCGAATCAATTCTGACTCATTTGTTGTTGTTGTTAGGTACCATCGAGTCAGTACCAACTCATAGCGACCCTAAGCACAACAGAATGAAACACTGCGTGATCCTGGGCCAACCTCACAATTGTTGCAACGTTTGAGCCCATTGCTGCTCCCACTGTGCCAATCCATCTCGTTGGAGGTCATCTTCTTGTTCTCCGACCCTTCACTTTACTAAACATGATATCCATTTTCCAGTGACTGGTCTTTCTTGACAATATGCCCGAAGTCTGAAATATTTCACCAAAAGAGTAAAAAGGGAGCCACCAGACTGGGAACATTTTTTGCAATGACGTATCAGATAAGAGACTAATCTCTAAAATGTATAGAAAACTACACCACCTCCACAAGAAAAAGACAAACAACCTAATTTAAAAAATGGACATGAGATATGAACAGACACTTCACCCAAGAAGACATTCAGGCAGCCACAAACATATGAAGAAATTTTTATGATCATTAGATATTAGAGAGATGCAAATCAAAATAACAATGAGATATCATCTCACACTAGCACTTACAGCAAAGTTCAAAAGAACAGAATACAGCAAGTGCTGGCAAGGGTGTGGAGAGACTGGAGCCCTCCTACATTGCTGGTGGAACTGTCAAATGGTTCAACCACTGTGGGAAACAGTGTGGTGCTTGTTCAGAAAGCTGGAAATAGAAATACCAAATGACCCAGCAATCCCTGGTATATGCACATAAGAAAAAAGAGCCAGGACATGAGTAGAAACATGAACACCAATGTTCATCACAGCACTATACACAAAAGAAAAAAGATGGAGGCAGCCTAAGTGTCCATCAGTGGAAGAGTGCATAAACAAATATTGGTACATATGCACAATGCAATAATATGCAACATTGAAGAATAACGAAAAATCGGCAAAACATCTTATCACATAGATAACCCTAAAGGACATTGTTGTTGTTGTTAAGTGCCATTGAGTCCTTTCCAACACATAGTGACCCTGTACAGGGTTTCCGAGGCTGTAAATCTTTACAGGAGCAGGACGCCTCATCTTTCACCTGCGGAAGAGCTGGTAGTTTCGAACTGCTGGCCTTAAGGTTCGCAGCCCGATTTGTAACCACTATGCTACCAGGGCCCCATCCTAAAGGACATTATGCTGAGTGAAATACATCAATTACAAAAGGACAAATATTGGTTGTATAAAACCACTATTGTAAAAACTCAAGATAAAATCTTCATACTAAAATACGCATTCTTTTGTTGTTTCCAGGGGTAATAGGGAATAAAGAGTAATTCACTGGCTGGAGGGCAGACACATTTTAACTCAAGAGATGGGGCAAGCAATATACAAAAATTGTTGTTGTTAAGTGCCATTGAGTCAAATGGGGAGGGCAATATATAAGAAGAGGGAGGTTGGCAGAAGATTGAAGGCTATAGATGAAGACGCAGGGTAGTATGCAAGATAGAGGTGAATGGTGATATATGTACAATTGTTGAAACAGTGTTCTGTGTGTAGATACATGGACATGGGAGGAATTTGTTGTCGTTGTTGTTAGGTGCCATCGAATCATTACCGACCCATAGCAACCTTAGGCACAGCAGAACAAAACACTGCCCGATCCTGGGCCAACCTCTCTATCGTTGCCACGCTTGAGCCTATTGATGCTGCCACTTGGCCAATCCATCTCACTGGGGGTCTTCCTCTTTAGTGGGATATATATGTATATTCCACAAATATGTAGGAATTTGAGGGAGGATATTTGCACAGATAAACATAGGGAGGGCGAGGGACAGGTCTTGTGGCATGGAGGGGATTGCAATCATTGAGATGAAACAAAGTGTATGATTTGTTGAATGTAAAACTGATGATCTTGTTGTAAATCTTTAGTCAATTCACAATAAAATGAAAAAATAATCATTAAAACAAACAAACAAACCTGATGTTAGTTCCCAAAGAATGATCAAAAATAGGATTGAAATAAAGGATACAACTGCAGGAGTGTAGGTAGAGCACATGATTCTGAGTCAGCAGACTTGCATTTGAGTCCAGACTTTGATCATCAATAGCTGTGCAATCCTTGAGACTTTGGGTTATCCTCGCTGGACCTCCCTGTCTTCATTAGCAATGTGGGTCGAGTAAATGCCCACCTCACAGGCTTGCTGTGAGGATTAATTACTATAATGTCTGAGGAAGTGCTCTGTTACTGTCAAGTGCTATATAAACAATATTCATTACTATAGCCACCTTCTTTCCAAAAAGATTATTTTTTTCCTTTTTGAGTTGTGAATTATTGAGCCACGCCATGATGGATTTCTAAGTGCTAACACTATATCAAATGAGCAAAGGAGGAAACTTGCTAAAATAAATGTTCTCCTTAATTGCAAACATTTATGAGCATTAGTGATGAATACTTGGGCTCATTGGACTGATGTCTATCCCAGGCAAGATTAATAGGCAAAACACTCTCTTGAATTAACACTCTTCATCTACCTTCTCTGTCTTTGCTGGCCTTGGATTCCTAAAACATAGCTAGCTCACAGATACTGCTTCCATTTATTAATTTAATTCAGGAGCCCTCATATTTTACTTCTGACCCAAAACAGATGATGGATTCCATTTAAGGTATCATTTCCCCACCTTCTCAAAATGCTGCACAAATAACAACACCCAAGAGAAAACCATGAAAAGCAGACTTACAAATCCTGCGCAGTGTTCACAGAAAGTTGGCTTGAGATACGTCATCTCCTGAAAATTATGGATAAATCCTGGTCCCATTTTACAGTGGAGTTGGGACTTTGCTCTCAAGAAGTAAGCCATCATTTCATCTTTACTAATTAGACCATCCCTGTTAAAAGAATCAAAGGAGGAAAGGATTTTTGAATATTGTATTGCTAAATAATGATTACACATTAGTTAACCATGTCACAACTATTGTGGCCAAAAGTTGATGAAGAATTATCACTGCTTTGTTACATGTAAGTGAAGGAAAGGACTCCAAAAAGAGTTGGTATCAAATCGGTACCAACTCACAGCTACCCTATGTACAACAACGAAACACTGTCCGATCTTGAGCCAACCTCACAATTGTTGCCATGCTTGAGCCCACTAATGCTGACACTTGGCCAATCCATCTCATTGAGGGTCTTCCTCTTTTTCTCTGACCCTCCACCTATCAAACATGATATCCTTCTACAGCGACTGGTCCCTCCTGACAATATGTCTGAAATATGAGAGACGAAGTTTGGCCATTCTGGCCTCCAAGGAGCAATCTGGCTGAACTTCTTCCAAAACGGATCTGTTGGTTCTTTTGGCAGCCCATGGTACTTTCAATATTCTCCTCCAACACTATATCTCAAAAGCATCAATTCTTCTACGGTCTTCCTTATGCACTGTCCAGTTTTCGTATGCATACGAGGTTATTGAAAATACCATGGCATGGGTCACACGCACCTTAGTCCTCAAGCTGACATTTTTGCTCTTCAACACTTTAAAATGGTGTTGTGCAGCAGATTTGCCTAATGCAAATCTGCTGCTTCCATGAGTGTTGATAGTCGATCCAAGAAGAATGAAGTTCTTGACAACTTCAATCTTTTCTTCATTGATAAGAATGTTGTTTTTTGATCTAGTGGTGAGGATTTTTGTTTTCTTTACTTTGAGATGCAATCCATACTGAAGGCTGTGCTCTTTGATCTTCATCATTAATTGCTTATATGCAAATTCAAACTGAAGCTGAAGAAAATGAAAACAAGTCCGCGATAGCCAAAATATGACCTTGAATATATCCCACCTGAATTTAGACATCATCTGAAGAACAGATTTGATACTTTAAACATTAAACACTGAAAAACAGCTCTAAATGCCAAAAATTTTCTTAGTAAGCAGAAGATAGTCTTGGTGTGTATGCAGGACCCTCCCACACACTCATACACACATGTGACCTGTGCACCATTACAGCAGAAGTCTCCTTCATTAATGAACAGTAGCTTCTAGGAAAACATCTTCATTGATGTCCTGGCCTATAGGGAGTCCTGGTGTAGGATAAGCACTAGGCCTCAAGGTCGGTTTGAACTGCTATGAATCAGTAATGACTCAACAGCACCTAACAACAACAAAAGAACATAGGGAGTCCTGGTGTGGCGCTGTAGGATAATGTAAATGATCTCAAGGTCGGTTTGACCCACAGGGTCGGTGATTCAAACTCACCAGACACTCCTTGGAAACCCTATACAGGGTTGCTGTGAGTCAGAACCAACTCAACGTCACTTAACAACATAGCAACAATAGGGTTTACAAGAGTCAAACTGCTAGAGTATGGCAGGAAACTGATAACTGGGCCCACTGTTCATTAATTCATTAGCCTGATATTATCAGAACAAGTGCCATTGCTTATCTTCAGATTCATGTCTTACTGCTCACAGCCAATTTGCTAGAGAATTCATCCAGATCTTTTCCATACACATTAAACCTCCAATTATATCCACTCCCTGACAACCCTCCCCCTGTTCACCACATATCATGACTTTTTATTTAACATAATGATCATGGGTGAGTTCCATATTTCCATGTCCTTATCTCCCTTGCCAATGAAAAAATTTTTTTAATATTTTTAAAATATTTTCTCTGTCCTTTCTTGGATGCTCAAAGGAAATGATGTTTCCATCCCCAACTCTGGAGACGCCAATTCAGACTTAGCTGAGTCTCTTCAACTATTGCTTCCTCTGCCTACAAATATGCCCGTTCCCTCCTAAGATATCCCTTGATGTTTCACTCTTACTGCCATCTCTAGCAGCTGTCTTTTATCCACAATGTTTTCAAAACCATTTCATTACATGATTTTCCTATTTCCTTTATGCACTCACTTATCCATAAAATCAAGTTTCTGGCCTTGACTTTCTATTGAAGCACTCACCAATGACATCCTAAGTGGTTTATCTCATTCCTTGAATTTTGGCACGTGACATGGGAACATGTTCCCTCTTCGTGACTTTGTTTCTTCCACTCACTCTTGTGATTTCATGCAGCCCTAGCTTTCTCCTTCCTTTACATATTCCTCCACCAGTTCTTTGCAGGATCGTCTTCTTTCTTTTACCCTCTACATATGGGGAAGGAGTCCTAAAGACTTATCCCTCAGGTTCCATGCTCATGTCCCACTAAACTTCTCCATGATAAATGCCTGCATACTTACCAATAAATTACGTCTGAGTAGAAAACCAATAAATTACGTCCAGCCCTAACTCTCTTCCTGAATTCTGGGACCTTACCATCAACAACATGTTAGACATTTTTATATATGCTCCACTCTCCTCTCAAAACCAACATATATAAACCAACCCCTTATCTTTCTTCCCCCAAAGAGTTCTTGCCCTAGATTTCCATATTGCTGTCAGCAATGCCATAATTTCCCTCCAGATTTCAAAGTTTAAGCTTCTGCTCTCATCACTTGTCCAACATTCAATAATGCTTTAAATTTATTGAAATTAAGAGTCACCTAGTATCTTGTCCATCTCAAATTATTCCTTGTAACCCCTGCACACATAATCTGGTTTTCTACTGGGAGTATACTCATTGAGAAATGGGATATATAAGCTTAATGATAAATATCCTAGAATATGTATATATAGGAGCTCTGGTAGCATAGTGGTTACAGTTGCTAACCTCAAGGTAAGCAGTTCAAAACTACCAGTTGTTCCACAAGAGAAAGATATGTTTTTCTGCTCCCATAAAGATTTATAGCCTCATAAACCCTATGCAAGGTCTCTATGAGTCAGAACTGACTCCACACCACATAACCAACACGACCAAATGGTTTGGTATTACTTTAGAGAACCTACTCATGCTCATTTCTGCCCTATCTCCACTCTGGTAAACAGACTGTCTAAGTAGAGTGATGAAAGACGTCACAAAATCTACAGTTTGAACCTGCCAGCCACTCATCAGGAGAAACATGAGGTTTTCTGCTTCCTCAAAGATTGAAAGCCTTGGAAACCCTATATAGGGTCGCTATGAGCCAGAACCTACATATATTATTGTTTGTTGTTACATGCCGTTGACTTGTTTTTAACTTACGTCAACCCTGTATAGGGTTTCTGAGCAGTGACTGGTGAGTTTGAACCACTGACTTTGCAGTTCAAACTGACCTCATGGTCAAGTGCTTATCCTACAGTGCCACACCAGAACTCCATATCTAAAATGTATAATATATACAAATATATACGTATATATGTAGAAGGCACTCTGGTAGTGTAGTGGTTACAAATTGGGCTGCCAATCTCACGGTCAGTAGTTTGAAACTACCAGCTGTTCCGTGGGAGAAAGATGAGGCTTTCTGCTCCCATAAAGATTTATAGTCTCAGAAACCCTATGTAGGGTCACTATGAGTCAGAACCGACTCCTCGGCACATAACAACAACATATGTATAGATAGATAGATATACTTTTGATACTATAATCTTATCACATATATCGTTCTAAAATATTTTTTCCAATCTCTAAGTTATCATTTCACTTTCTTGATAAATTCCTTTGATGAACAAAAATATTTCCCTCTATTCATTTTTGGTGGGAGTTTAGGGTTGATGAAACAGCTAAGCACTAGAAGTAATGCAGGAAATGGAGATCCAGGTTCATTTGCAAATAATTACTTAAGTGTAACACAGATGATGTGGTCTGCCCTGGAATTTCATCCATCTAGTCATGATAAGCAATAAGACACACATACACCAAAAAAAGGAAAGTGAAGAGTTAAGCTCAACTCATTAAAGCATTAGCGTTGAAGTTGCCAAGATGTAAGTTAAAAGTTTCACTGCTCTTCTCTGATAATAGTTTTCAGCTTTACAGCAGTGGAATTAAAGAATAATGACATTGAAACTTACTGATCTTTGTCCAACACACAGAAAGAATCCAAGAAGGGAAAGTTGGCAGCTATGCTTTCAAAGTCCTCTTGGGAGATGTACCCATCATGGTCATGGTCGTAGTTTCTAAACACAGACTGCAAATGAAAGACAAATGTTTATTGAATGACTGACTATGAGTAAGGCTTTGAACTTGTTATAGTGAAAGCACTGTTGGCTAGTAAATGATCCCTCTTAGAAGCTAGTGAATGATAGCTAAAATAAGAAGCCTTTACAAGATAACAAGATGAGTGCTTTGCTAGGGATGAAAACAGAACACTGTAGTTGGTGAGAAGGTCTAGAGGAAAAGAAGGAGATTGACAAAGGCTTCCTGGACAAAACAAATTCTAAATTGAGAACTGAATGTTGAGCAGGAATTAGGTTTAGTGAATTCACAAATCTCAATACTATGACAACAGAAAAGATGTTATATTAGCTAAAAAGAAGAGTTGAATATTAAATACAATTCCAATCAAAATCTCACTGGAAACTTGTTTAAAATGAAAAGGTTGATTCTGAAGTTCAAATAGAAATGAATATATTAAGACCAGTAGAAAACATATTTAAAATCAGAAGTAATGAGGAAGAATATATAATCGTTTAAACAAACAAAGGGCACATTCTGCAAGCCAGCATCCTGCCTGCCAGCACACAGCCTTTCTCTTTCCATGAGTCTAGAGTCCTCAGTTGCTCTATCTCTCCATGTCAACATCTCTGCCTCTGTCACTGTCTCTGGCTTTGTTGCTTCTCTGGTTAGGGTCCCAAGTTCCACTCATACTCTTCTCTCTTAATGGTCCTAGGGTCCTCTGTTTCTGGAATGTAAGATTAACTACTCCCCACTTTTTGTTACACAACTTCTACCTTTACAGTTGTGACAATTGCAACTAGTCATGATAACAAGTACTCACTATTGAATCAAAATAATCCTAGCCTCATTTCCTTTCACCAAACCCATCTAGACAAGATGAAAACTCTTGTGAGGATTTTACTTTCCCTCTTTTCTCTGAAACTAAACTTCTTAAAAACTTGCAAGACAGCCAGTTTGTGACTTTATAGCCCCATTTTAGATAGCCAATGTCTAAATTGCCCATCCTTATCTCTGTATACAGAGGGAATAGACTTGATCCTTCCATCTCAGTTGGTATTTTGAGGTACTACATCCATAAGTCTATGTCAAGTTCATCAAATTGTAGCAATTTACACTTGCTTCCTTTATCAAATTTCTTTATCTTCCTCTAATCGAGTTCTGATCATCAAGCCATTGAAGCTAGGGCAAATAGGTACTATCTGCAAGTTTGGGTGTTCTTGTGTGTCTCTCCCCTCTTCATATTAGCTAGATGCTTCACTCTCAGCTCTAGCCCTCTGTGGCTAGGTCAGTGTCCATGGGCTCAGCAGTTCCCAGGTTTCTCCAAACTTTGGTCCAACCATCTCATCTCAAGGTCGACAGGCGTCTATGGAATGTGGTCAAACTCAGCCCTTATCTTCATTACTGCCTTTCCCCCTCACAATATTCTTTTGAGTTTTGAGAACTAAAGCCAATCTTAAGGGGCAAGGTCAGGGTTGGAAGGTGGATGGGTAAGGTTTCTCAGGGAAATTTTGAGTGCATGTTTTTGTTGTTAAGTACTGTCAAGTAGGTGCCAACTCATAGCAATCCTGTATAGTTTCCAAGGTGTTGGTTAGAAAAAAAAAAAATTTTTTTTTAATTTCCCATTACCCTTTGCTAAGTGTTCTTTTTCTCCAACAAAGTCTCTAAGTTATCTCTGTAAACACATACTTTTAATGTATATTTGACTTGGATACTTAATCTGTCTCCATTCTCCCAATGCTTTCTGTCAATTCTATTTAAATTATATTACCTTATGTTGTATATTACATCAAGAGTACTTTGGATGTAGATAAAGTATAAATGAACGAATTACTTAATTTAAAATATGACTATTCAGCCCCCATTGCAAGTTTATCCATAGGTTACTGGATTGTACAAAATTATAATGCATTACTTTTTGTGTGTGTGAGAAAGTGCCAATATCAATACTTGGAATCCCTAGGTGATATAAACAGATAATGCACTAGACTGGTAACTGAATATTTGGAGATTTGAATATACCCAGAGGCACCTTGGGTGGCATGGTGGTTCTGTAAGATAAGCATTGGTTTGAGCATACTAACTCCTCCTGAGGAGAAAGATGAGCTTTTCTGCTCTTACAAAGATTTACAGCCTCAGAAACCCTATACAGGGTAATTATGAGTAGAATCGACTCAATGGTATTTAACAACAAAGGCACCTTTAAGAAAGGCCTAGTGAGCTACTTCTGAAAAAGTAGCTTATAGAAACCTTATTAAGTATTAAGTATTATTATTACTGATGCTGACTGAATGCTTATAGAAACCTTATTAAGCATTAAGTATTAAGTATTACTATTACTGATGCTGATTGATAATGCAAAATTGGTTTAGAATGAACTATTTTTGAGTGTCTGTGGTGCTGTGGATCAATGCACTGGACTGCAAGGTGGGTGATTCAAGCTCAACAGCTGCTCCTTGGAAACACTATACAAGGTCGCTGTAAGTCGGAACTGACTCAACAACACTTAACAACAACAGCACAACTATTCATGGTCATGGTGGTGATGGTGTGCGTATTTATACAGAGAGTATAAGATTTGTTTGCTAAATAACATTTAATATGAAAGTTTATAATAAAACCCAGGAATTGATGGAATAAAAATTGAAATCTTTCAAGAAAGTGAGGTGGCACAAGAGGCACTCACTCATCTCTGCCAAGAAATTTGGAAGACAA